AAAGTGGGAGACACTTAATGGAAACTGGGGTTGTTACACAAGGAGCTTTCAGATAAGCTCAGATTTAAAGGGGAGCATGAATGAGAGTGTGGAGGGAAATATTCATGGGGGACCGAGGGGAGGCAGAGCTGCTGAACACCCATTTTGCCTCTTATTTCCTCCCAAAAGGAAAATAGTACTCAACCTAGAGCAAGAAGAACAAAGGAGAACGGGAGGGGACTGCTGGCCAAGACAGGCAAAGAAGTGGTGCAAGAACATATAGCTGCTTTAAATGATTTCAGATTCCTTTGGCCAGACAAACAGCACTCCGGGGTAATAAAGGAACATGCAGATGAAATCTTGGAGCCTCTGTCTCTATTTTCAATGATTTTTGGAAAAAATATGAGGTCCTGGAAGACTGAAGGCAAACAAATGTCATCTACCTCTTTTAAAAAGTGGGTGAAAGAAGACCCAGGCAACAATTAGAAAAGAATACTGTGATTTCTAAGACCCAGCATGGGTTTCTCAAAATCAAGTCAAGCCACACTTTTCTTATCTCTTTTTTGACAGAGTTACAAGCTTGGTAGGTCAAGGGACTGTTGGGTATGCACGTTTATCTTGATTTCAGCAGGGTTTTTCACAAGGTCCCTCGTAGAACTCCAGGAGCCAAGCTACTAAAATACAGGCTAGGCTAGGCTACTGTTAGGTGGATTTGGAGCTGGTCTACAGGCTGCATTCAAAGAGTGCTCCTCAAGGGTTCCTAATCATCCCAGAGAAAAATGACAAGTGGGGCACAACAGGGTTCTGCCCTGGCTCTGTGGTGTTCAAAGTCTTTATAAATTACTTGGATGAGGATGGGGGCGTGAAGGATGCTCATCAAATCTGCAAATGGCATGAAACTGGGAAGAGTGGCTAATACGCCAGAAAACAGAAACAGGATTGAAAACAACCTAAACAGACTAGAGAAATGAGCCAAAACTAACAAAATGAGCTTCAGAAGGGGAAAATATGAAGTTTTACATTCATGCAAGAAAAACCAGATGCACAACACCTGGCTTAGCAGTAGTCCATGTGAAAAGTATCTAGGTGTCTTAGTGCAGAGGTTCCCAACCCCGTCTGTGGCCCAGTGCCGGTCCGTGGCCTGAGCCAGACCGGGCCGCGGAGACAGAACTCCCACTCTCCACCCACACTCACCCCTACACAGCTGATTCGTGCATGCACACGCACTCCACTGTGCCCATGCGAGTGCTGCACTGCTGTTTCTGCATGCGCACAAGCGCTCCCAGACAAGGGCCACGCTGCCGTTTGTGCATGCACACTAGCACATGCTCATTTGTGCAAGACAGCACGTGTGCTTGTTCGTGCATGTGGATGAGCGCAGGGATGCCTTGCCTTCCCCAGCCGGTCCCCGGGGTGAAAAAGGTTGGAGACCCCTGTCTTAGTGGACAACAAATTTTACAGTAGACAACAATGTGACACAGTTGCAAAAAAGCAAATAAAATACTTAATTGCATCAACAGAAGGATAATTTCCAGAAGCAATAGTATGGTTCTATTCTGATCTTTTGCACATGTCATCTGGAATACTGTGTCCAGTTTTGATAAAAGTGTGGTGAAGCTGAAACATGTTCAGAGGAGGGCAAGCAGGATAGTAAAAAGGTCCAGAAATCAACCCCTAAGTGATGGCGAAGCTATAGCACACGTGCCACAGCTGGCACACAGAGCCCTCTCTTATGGACACACGAGCCATAAGTCGTCATTGAGAAATACTTTCCCGTCCTCTGATCCCAGATTTCGGCACTCCCCTCTGCTGGTGCAGTGGTCCAGCAGAGGGGTACAATGGTGACCATGACCAGTCTAGCCCAATGGGGGAGTGGAGGACCAGTAAGTATTTATTTGTTAATACCACCCATAGGGGGGAAAAAAGAAAAAAACCCCAAGCATTTAACCTTTGCAGTGCAAGAGCAATTGTTTTTTTCTAAACTAAAACTTCAGCATTCGGGTTTTAATTGAAGTATTAGCACTTTGAAATAGATAAGTTGATTTTGTGTTGCAGTTTGGGCACTCAGGCACAATGAAAAAGGTTCGCCATCACCGCACTAGGCGCTCAGAGGCAGTCACTGCTCTCAGACAGCAGATTTTGCAGTACCAGTATATTTTTGCCATCTATCTATGGCATGGATCCACATGAATTTTAATGTATGCTCATCTCCAAATCATTGCCCATCTCCATTTCCTCTATTATGGCACTGGCATGAGAGGTTGGACTGGAAGCTTCTTTGAAGTGGCATATTTTCTCCCCACTTGTACTCTGCAAGGAGCTGTCCATGGCGTGCTCATGGGGTTGATGATGAG